TTAAAGGGCCTTGTTCAGACTATATCTCTGTTGTCATAATATACAATGTGTGCAGCCATGTGCAGAACCAAGTCCGCTGATCTCAGCTAGCCAATGGCAGATCCTTATGTCTCAGACTCACCTCAGGTGGCAAGGCCCAAATATAGTTCCCCAACCTCCTGCAGGGTTGAACTCCACACAGTTCTACTACAAGTTTCCCCTGCCCTTTCTTTAGAGATGTTCAAAGTTGGGAGTTCAGACAAATACCCTTAATGACCACCTATGCCTCTGCAGAGTGGGTCCAAGGATTGGCACAATCAGGAGGTCTTAGAGCACAGGCGGGGGGGGTGTTTCAGGGACACCTGTGTGGCTACCTTCCTTGCTGGAGCTGGTGGCAGCACAGGCAGGGGAGGGCATGGCTACCCAGTCCCTCTGAATGGGCCCAAGCAGGCCAGGGGGAGAGCAGATCTTGGAGCAGCCTTTCCAAATCTCACCTTCCTTGCTGGGGCTGCTGGTGGCGCAGGCAGGCTGTTTTTTTGGGGTTTTTTTTGTTGTTGTTGTTGTTGTTTGTTTGTTTTTCTATTTGATCAGAAATGTGATACCTATTTAGAGATTTGAAAATACAGACAATTTGCTCTGAGACTTATTTTTTCAGTTCTCTGTATTCAGCCACTACCAACCCCTCATTTTCTTGGGAAGATTGTTAGTGACTATTGGTTGTGGTTATCAGAAAAGCGACACTGAGGGAGGCACTGAATGATAATTCTATAACTTGGCTTTGGGAGATAATCCTAACTCTCATTCTGAGATCATAATTTGTCAGACTCCTCTCAGGAGAATGAACTCATATCATATCTGTGGCTAGTTTGCTTACATTCACTAAAAACGTTGCCAATGGGAATGTGGTCATACACTGAGCTCTGTGATTCTAGTTTCAGATTCAGGTCATTGTATGACCCTTCAGCTGATAAGAGTCAATCAAAATAAATGTACAATTTTCCAAATTTTTTCTTGCTGTAAAATTTTCTCAACCTTAAGAATTTGGTCTGGGACACTGAAAACCCTAAAAGTTTGGCCTCAAAAGGAAATATTACTGATATTTGTGGGATGGAAATGTGATATTAGGTCACAGAGTGTTGCCCTGTCCCTGTAGAGTAAAGGCCAGGCTAACCTCAGATAACCAAGGACACTTCTGAGCTCATTGGACAGAGGGCCAATAGGTAAAGAGCCTGCTGTGTATGTGACCTGCCTTGGTCAAATCTCTTTCATATTCAAGGAACAGAAATCTACTCAAGTCATAGTAACAAAGGTGGGGAGGGAGATAGAGAATATTGCATGGACATTCAAAAAGAGCAAAGTATAACAGAACTACACAAAAAATGAAAAGTCTCGAATTTGGCTAGTCTATCAAGATTCCAGGTACCTGTCTCAGAGGGCTGCATGGTCACCAAATGCAGCATAGTAGATAAGCTCTCAGGGTGTGGATTGAGGCAGATAAAGGTACAAATCCTGGCTTTACCACTACCAGCTGGGCACATTGGGAAGATGTCCTGGCTCTACTTACCTCTAGCATATGATTTTATCTCCACTGCTCATTTGGCACATTTTCTGCCCTGAGTTTTTCCTCCAGGGCCATCCTCTCCAGGAATCCTTTCCAACCAGACTTAATTCCATAGCCATCTCTCTTCTCCAGACTCTCACTGTACAAGCAGTCAGAGATAGTAGTTGTTCTCCTCATTTTTCTCTTATCTCTAGTTTGAGCACAGAGTAACATATAGATTCTAGTTTGTAATCATTCACAAAACCAAAAGTTGCTTTCATTTATTGAATTTTTATTCTGAGATATTAAGTCTTTATGTGTATTGTCTCACTCAATTTTTATAACTCATGAGATAAAATATGTTATGTTTATTTCATAAATTAAAAAACACACAGTGGCTTGGAGAAAGAAATAACTTGTTCAAGTCATCTAACCACTAACAGTAAAAGACAAATTCACACTCCAGGTTCTTGGCCCTATTATGCTGCACTACTGTGGTAGTTGCAACCTTTCATTCAGATGAAGTAAGGTGGAGTCATAAAGGCTTATGTGGAGCACCTGGAAACCTTCCCAAAGGGCACGTTATTCTCCCACTTCCCGTCATAAATTTCACTGTACTAACTTCTCCTGTTTTAATGCTCTTGACGGGAAAGTTGCTATGTCCTCGAGTGTATTGTGAAGGAAAGAAAAGGTTGATAATGTATCCTAAAGTAAGATTATTCATTTATTGAATTATAAGCCCTTTCTATACTTAAAGTATTCCTTAGGCACATTTAGAAGACATACAACATAGATTGGTTCATCCACTAACTATTTTAGAAGTAAGTTTATTTCTGTCATTTTCATTTTTTTTTTTTTTTTTTTTTTTTTTTTTAGTATGTGTTTGTAGGGCATAATGTTTACCTTCCTTGTGGGAAGTTGGCAAATTCCTTGTTGCATCCCCTTCTCCTTCCCTCCCTCTTCCTTTCCTCCATCTCTTGACCCTCTTCCCACCTGAGAAAGATCTATCTCTGTACTTCCTATTATCTGCCACTTATTTTGCTCTTTATGTTTTCAGTTTTTCATATAAGAGAAGACATGAGATATTTAGGCTTGTGTATCTGATTCTTTTCACTTAACATTATGGTCTCAAGGTACATTCATTTTCCTAAAAATGACTCAAGCTTATCTTTCTTTATGGCATAGTAGTACTCTGTTATGTATATATAGCATATTCTTTATCTGCTAATGGACATACAGGCTGCTTTGAAGATTTAGCTATTATGAATTGTAGTGCTATAAATAGGGGTAATACATGCATCACCATAATATGATGTCTTTAACTCTTTGGGGAAGATACTAGAAGAGAAATAGTTGGTTAGATGAAATTTCTAGTTTTAGTCTTTTGAAGAATCCCCATGCTGATGTCCAGAGTGACTGTAATAGTTTACATTCTCATCAACAATGTAGAAGTGTTCATTTGCCCCTGCAGCCTCACCAGCATTTGCTATTATTTGCTTTTCTGATGGTGGCCATACTTTCTAGGGTAAGATGGAGTCTCAGTGTTATTTTACTTTGCAGTTTTCTAATGGCCAGTGATATTGAACATTACTTTATATATTTATTGACTCTTTGGACTTCTTCTGTGAAGTGTCTATTCATTTCACCTGCCAATTTTTTCACTGGATCTTTTATATTGGGCATCTAGTAGTTCTGAGTTCTTTATACACTAGTCCTCTGACTGAGGAATAAATGGCAGAACTTTTCCCCATTCTGTAAATTGCTTCTCCATTACGTTGGTTGTTTCTTTTACTGTACAGAAGCTTTTCAATTTGCTATGATAGGTTGGTTCTTGATACTATTTTCTATGCAACCAGGGTTCTTTTCATAAAGTCCTTGCTTATACACATGACATCAAGAGTTTTACCTATTTTGTCTTCAGGTCATGCGTTTCTGTATTAACATTTAGTTATTTGCTCCATTTTGATTTTAGTTTAGTACACAGTAAGAAATATGAGTATAGATTCAATCTTCTGCATGTGGATAGCTAATTTTAATAGCTTCATTTATTAAACAGGACATCTTTTCTTCATTGTATGTTTTTAGCCCCTTTGTCAAAGATCAAATAGCTAAATTTCCTGGAATTGTTTCTGTGTTCTGTTTTGTTCCATTGATCCTCATGTCAGTTTTCTGGGGTTTTTGCTCAGACTATGCTGCTTTTATCACTGTGGATTTGTAGTATAACTTTATGCCCATGATTGTGATATCCCCTACCTTGCTCATTAACCAGAATTATTTTTGCTACTCTGAGTCTCTTCTGATTCCATGTGAATTTTAGGATTGTTTTTTTCACTTCTATGAAAAATGCTCTTGGTATTCTGATTGGGGTTTCATTAAACCTACACTCTGAAAAAGAATATCAAAATGGACATTAGAAAATTGAAAGATATTCTCTGTTCCTTAATGAGTATAGGTAAGTTTAAAGAGTGCTTAGAGTTGATGCATGAAATGCCATTTATGAGGAGAAAGAGATTGTTTCTGGTTGGAGTACAGGAACAATCCATGATGGAGGTAGGAGTTATTTGGGCCTTAGAGCACAGACAGTCTGTAGACATGTGAAGACTAAGGAGAAAGAAAATCTACCTACAGGAATAGAAAACAAACTATAAATAAGGAAGCTTGTACCACTGGAGCAGTGTATGGAGATAGGGGACTAGGAAATAAGGGTTATTCAAGTGAGTAGAGCTAGATCATGAGGGCCCACAATGCCAGACTCAAAAGGCTGGATATTATATGGGAGATGAATGAAAAGTTTTTCAAACACGGTGACTTGCTTCAAGACAATTGAGGTGCAACTGAGTGGTAAATGGGACCTGTAGGCATTCAGATACTGATTGCTTATTGATGTCCATGTGACTGGGTACCATTAAAATGGGAAACTACAATAGTTAACACAATCTAAAAATATATTTAAATAAAACTCCATACTATGGATTGAATGATGAAAAAAGTAGGCAAAGGAAGACAGGAATGAAAACAAAGATGGACTTGTTTAGTGAATGTGGGATTGAGGAGAGAAAAACAAACATTAGAATACAATTGATAGCCAGACACCTGATTAACTATAAGGTTCAAGGAAGATAAAGGATGAATAATCATGAAATCTGACCACTGTTAATTTGTTAAATAGAAATCAAAGAAGAGACAGATTTGGGGGAGGAAAATAATGTACTCCTTTTCAGCAAATATGTACATACAGGCAAAAAAGATGCAAGTGGAAAAGATTACAAACTACATGAGAATAGGCAACTGTATATATAGAGCTGAAATAATGGAGAGAAACACACAAACAATGTGTAAAATTGGAATGATTTCTTTAAAAAGTGAGTTTGAGAACAGAGAGAAGCATCGTTCAGCAAGACACAGGCATTTAAAAGACTTTTAAAAGAAAATGTTGGCCTTTCAGAGAACTAAAAGAAGAGCTTATCTGTTTCATTTTTAGACCAAAGTTTGGAGGGAAATACTGCACTGGAGAAAGAAAACGTTATCGCCTGTGCAATGTCCACCCCTGTCGCACAGATGTACCAACATTTCGACAGATGCAGTGCAGTGAATTTGACACCATTCCCTACAAGAATGAATTCTACCACTGGTTTCCTGTTTTTAATCAAGGTCAGTAGCCATAGAGTATATCTCAGATGTAGGACTACATCTGTATGTCATGGTTTAGAAGATGGTAGCACTGATCTGGTCAAGTTGATGAGTAAATGCTGAAGACTGAATATGTTCTGTTCTACTCTGTGGGAGATGAACGAGAAGTTCATCAGACATGGTGACTTACTTTAAGACAATTGAGGTGCAACTGAGTGGTAAATGGGACCTGTAGGCATTCAGATTCTGATTTCTTATTGATAAGCAAGGGGAATGGTCTGCAATTTTGGCAGAAATTCAGAACAAAAAGCCATTGTAGATTTGGAGTAATTTCAAAGAGGTTTCCAAGGAAGCAGTGGGTTATTCTTAAGAATGAGTAGTGTTGGGCCAGTGATTTAGCTTAGTGGTTCCACTGCCTTGCAAGTGCAAGGTCCCAAGTTCCATCCCCAGTACCAAAAACAAAAACAACAACAACCAAAAATAAATAAATAATAAATAGTAGTGATACTACTGAAAGAAGAAAAGAGGGAGAATTCAAAGCCATTCCAAGTGGGATGAGAATAGCATGAGGAAAGGCAAGATAATAGGGATGACTTGATAAAAAATGAGTGAGAGCTAGCCCTGTTTCATAGGTACAAAAGAAGATGAGAAGGGTAAAAGCAAAATCAAATATCTAAAGAATGCGTGTCAGGGACCCAACTGAGATGGAGAATGTTAATAAACAGCAGATTTGGCAAAACCTCCCCATCAGAACCAGTAACACATTCTCCCCTAAAAATGAAGAAGAATCTGTGATCATTACTTACAGACTAACATGAGAAGCCATCTTATTGGAGTGAGGCGTGAAAACAAGAAAGATTTTCCTGAGCTGAGGAGATTCAAGGCGATGCAGTAAAAAATATCTCATCAAATCTTTCATGATTTGTAACTTCCTCCATTAAGATTCTTATCCAAAAATGTAAAGCCATCCTGTTTCAGAAAAATTGCAGCATTTGATTCAATATCCATTCATTTACCTGAGCTTCCTTTTAGAAGATTAATTAGATATTGTGAGGGTGGAAGTTCACCAGTAAATTAGTTTTCACCTAGTAGAATTATAAATGTGCCTGAAATCTTTTTGAGGGTAAAAGTCTCACGTCATGCACAAAAGGGTATGTCAGACCAGGTGGATAAATGTAAGACAAAGATAATATCTAGTGCTACAGAGGTGATAAAATCTACAGGGTTGACCTTTAGAACAGAGAATCTCATACCCATGATTACTGATGAGAATCAATATGGTCCATTACCAGTATTGGCCTAAAACAAAGGCCAAAGAATGAGAGTAAAGGGAAGCAATATTTTAATCTCAGCCTAAAAACTGCTTAAACAGAACCCAACCACAAATTTGCAGTGGCTGCTCCAAGCACAGGTTCCTCTCTAGCCTTAGGTACACCTATGCTCTACAAAGTCACAGAGGTGGCTCTGTAATCTGTTTCTGTTGTCCTCACATTATTTACTAGATATTTCTAAGACTGCATAGACCATTACACTTATATTCACCAAGTATTCCTGTTTTATATACAGTGCTTGCTATTTAAATTATCTAAAATTAGAGGATGACTAGCCCCATAATAAGGAAGTAAGATGGGGAAAAGTTTCAAAGCAAAGACCTTTCTTCATGGAAATGTGTCATGATTACTGCAAATAACAGGAGATTATTCCAGTTTTCTTGTCTGAGAACAATATTTTTAAATGAATATGTGTGCCTTATAACAAATGCAAGTGTACACAATAGAATAAAATAGAAATAAATTCCTATATCCCACGACACTTAGCTTATTCCTCTGACATAACCATTGTTAAGAGCATTTTTGTTTGTACAACAGTAGAGTCATATTTTTTTCAGATTTTACATCTTTGTTGGCTACTGAGCAAGAGATCATGGTATCAGGGTTTACATCATTCCTCTCAATGACTGCATAGCACTGATTTGTCCATTTCTCTCTGGATAAGCATTTCACTGCACTATGAATGACTTTGAATTCTTTTTTTTTAAATTGAGTTTATTGGTACATTCTAGGTATACAGTACAGTTACATTCATCATTGGGATCTTGTACCTTTACATGACAGGTCTTGGTTCTCATTTTTTCCCTTTGTCCCTGCCCTCCCTTCACCCCCTCCTCCCCTCCCCATTTACAAACATTTTATTTCCATTTTTTTCATTTTTTCCTATTTTTCCCCTTATTTGATTTCTATCACTAAGATTGATATTTATTCTTAATACTCCTCAGTTGATAATCTCTTAGGATTAAAAAGATATCTTTGATGCTTGATCCAGAAATTTTTCCCTACGAGTGTTGAACACTGTCACATCCATTAATTGGTAGAGATTAATTAAAAGCCCTTTCTGGAAGTAATGTTCTGCTAGCAATCACTGGAACAAATTAATAGTAACTACCATGTTATCCTTCTAAAAGCCCCTGTGCAGACTAGAGAGTGGGAAGTTTTGGCAAAGTCTAAGATCAGTGATCGGGTTTGAAGCCTTATGGATCTAACTTTAGGGCCTCCAATTCCGCAGGCTGTGTTCTTTCTGACTCCACTGAGCTTTTCAACCCTCAGATCTCCATGGCTGTTAGTAGCAGATCAATGTACAGATATTCTTGTGTGTCCCTGAGGACATGAATTTTGATGAAAACACCTTTAAAATCCCTAGTCTTGTAATTATAGACCTCAAAGGTCCTTAGTAATTATTGTACAATTGGAACATCTTTGACTGAGGTCTAGTATCATAGTAAAAGAAAGTTATGGAATCACCTAATATCTGAGCAGGATCTAGAATCCTTTACATTAAATTTACAAGATACCAATTATTTACAAAATAGTAAAACAAAGCATGTATTTAACACAGAATTGATTAGCAGTGGCATAATAAACTGCAGAAGAAGATATTTCAGGAGGTTTTTTTTTTGTTGTTGCTGTTTTGTTCTGAAATTAAGATTGAGCCAAATTTATACATTTGAGAAGCATAGAATGCAAGGCTACTTTCAAAGGCCTTTACAATTCCTTGAACTCATGATAAGAACATGAAAATGCCTATCACTTCTTGAGCATATATTGTATACTGAATACAGTGCTAAGTATTTGACTGCATCTCTGTCTTTATTGTCACAATTACTTTACAAGATATTATTATCTTCATTTTTCAAATGAAGAAACTGACTCATAGAAAAATTTAAGTCACTTTCTTAAGAGAATATAAGAGGGCCAGGGATTTAGCTCAGTGGCTCTGCTGCCTGCCTAGCAAGCATAAGGACTCAGGTTTGATCCCCAGTACACCTCTGCCAAAAAAATAATAATATAAGATTTTCATGAATCAAAATTTTTAAATATGCTCTCTGTAGAAGTAAATGGTCCCAGGCTGAGTATTTCCTCTGTACTTAATGCCTCATGAGAAAATGGATTTTGAATTAAAATGGGACCTAGAAGGCACACTACCAAATTTTTGGGTGTTTACCTATTATGATTCATGAATAAAATATTATCTGTTAATCTGAAGAGTGATTACTCTAAAGATCTCAGAAAAGACATTTTTTTGTGCTTGAAAAAAAATTGGGGTCTGTTGGTTAGAAGTCAGCAGTGTAGGCTCTGAAACCAAACCAGTTTGGTATTGTACTGCTGCAATTCCTACTAAGCAATCTTGAAAAACTTTATATTGCTTTATCTAAATTTTCTCATCTGTGAAATAGCTGTAAAAGAACTATCGGCATAAAATGGTTATGACTGTTGAAAAGATAACTACTATAAAGCAAAACCAAATCTAAGAAATAATGTTCAAGTAATATAATAGCTGTTCTTTTCACAAGCAAAGTTCCTTCTGATTCACTATATAAACAAGAATAGCAACATCTCTGGATTTTTTTCAGAGTGGGTTTAACAGCTCAAACCCACCATACTAAGCCAAACATTGGCAGCTGAAGACAAATATTGCAGTATCACCATTATGGAATTTAGTTCACACTTGTTACAGGATGGAGGATTATTCTCTATGAGGATCCACTTATAAAATCAAGATTAAGAATCTCCTTAAAATTTACATCCTCAGTGTCCCAAGTTCTGGACCTTTATCAGCACCTTTAGTATAACTTTTTAAGAAAAGCTCAAGAATTCCTCAGGTCTGGTTACTTTTCTGTCTTAGGTGTCCAAATATAAAATGCTAAATCTGAATTTTAAAGTACAACCCAAAGTGTTAATGCAATGGCTCCCTGCATTCAGCACCCAGATGGACATTGTTATTCATCAGAGAGATTAGCTCCCAAGGGACTCTCTATATGTACTTCTGCTCCAGTTTGGGTAGTGACCAAGCTAATAGTGCCAGAAATGAGATATATAATAACCACAAATTATGTTTTTTTCTCATAGTTTTATGGTCCTATTCAATTGTACTTTGTCCACTGATAATTTTAATTCATTTTAATTTTATCTTCTTTGATACTTGATTAAGAAATTTTTCCCTACCAGTGTTGAACACTGCTGCATCCATTCATTGGTAGAGATTATGAAATCAGTTCATTTTCTACATTTGTGTTTACCTTTGTACTTTAAGCTTTGAACATTTGTGTTTGATACCTTTTTCATCTCGAGTTTTAGTCAGAGTTGAGAAATTTCTTGCCACATGGATTTTTGGATCCCTGAACAGAAGTAGTTAGCACCATGCACTTTGTCTTTGCATTTGATTCCCATCTGCACTGAGAAAGGCCCATAAAAAACACACTTACAGCTAATATCAGTGAGCCCTAGCCTGGCCATGGCATTAAGAAAATTACTAGTGTTCCTGACAATAAACAGACCCAAGGAGATTTATTTTTGTTTAATGAATTAATTTTATTGGCATATTAAATCTATACAATATAGTGACAATCATCATTGGAAATGTGTACCTTTACATAATCATCTTGGTTCTTAGTTTTTCCCCACTCCCCTGCCCTCCTTTCAACCCCTTCACACTTCCCTAGCTACAAAGACTTTGTTTCCATTTTT